CTGTTCCTGTGCCGAATCTTGGCTTCAACATTTGCAGTTCAGAGTGTCGTAGCTTACTATTTTGGTCTGCATGTCGTGGTTTTTGCACCTGGCTGGCTGCATGCTTGTTTGTATTCGGTGTGCTGCAGCTACAGTAGAATCTGGATGGCATGCCACCGCACAAAGTAATGAGCGTTTCTTCATGCGGCAGTGATCGTGTACCTCGCATCACGCCGCTACCACGCACCGGCTTCGTCGTAGTGTCAATGTTCCAATGAAGAATGCCCGTCAAATAATTTTCGATTTTTGACTCTGATTCGAGAACATGTCTTACTTTCTTCCTGACACTTCGTCACTCCTGTCAGGCTTGGCCGGCGATCACACCATAGAGTAGGCAACGGGATGTAAGGGGCTGTGAGGCAACGATGCGGCGTGAATCTAAACCAATTGCATGATCCAGTGTTGTCAGAATGTCGGCGGTCGGTGCTTACATGCCAATGGTCGCACCCATACGCACGATAGACATACAGCCGCCACAACAATGAATACAAACCCTCAAGGCGGGTGTTCTGCGGTTGTCCGGCAGGACATGATGGACAAGATGCTTGTGCTGCCGTCCCACGATGGAGGTCACTCAGTGAATGTGCCGCAGGCTTGCTTCGGCGTGTTGGCCTTAGCAGGCGACACGGGCTTCCTGAACGCCTTCTTCCCTGACTGGTACCTGTGGCCTCCAGACCAACGGCTGCCATTCCGGTACAATGCTCTACGTACCATGTACTGGCGACTTGCTTGCAAGCCAAGCCTGGTTTGGCTAAATTGGCTAAATGACGGACCACATAATCTAATGGCGACGTGTTATGTTGTGTCAATAGCGCTGGGACAAGCAGAGTTCCGCTTTTTCTGAGCAATCTAGAGTTATTCAAGCAATGAAGTGCATCTCCGTGAGAAAGAAAACAATGTGCGCCTGCGAGCGCACAAGTGGTGTGATTTGTCGGCGACATGGCATCCTCGGGTTCTGAAGCCTCTCCATGCTGAGCCGCAGCGTTTTTCTGCAGTTGCGCATTGCAACTGCGCATGTCCGGCATGTCCACTGTGCAGCCGGAGGTTCACACACGCCAATCCTGGGTACTGGGAATCGGTACAACCTGTGAAGGCACTTTCGGCAAGCATTTGCTGGGTTGCAAACCTAGTAAAAAGTAAGTTAGGGCTTATGCTGAAGAGCTCGTGTGCAAGGTAAAGCACATGATCACGTGCCGTGTGTTCTGCCTCAGGTGCTGCACTTCTGCTCGTCCCCGAAGCCCTGGGATAAGGAGGCCAAGAAGGGAGATTTGGAAGCGTTTCTAGGCCGCATCGATGCCCTCTTGTCTTCATGAGTTTCAGAATGTGCAGAACGAACTTAGGCTCTGGTGGGAGCACTACTTGAAATCGCAGATGCCGTTTTAATGTCCGGAGGCTCGCGCCCGTATAATGGCAGCAGGAAGCTTGAGCTGCTGTTCGCCAGGAACCCCGAAGCCAATTGCTCCGGCGAGTTGCCTTCCATGCTGTGGTCGTCAAGTCGTCAGACTCCACCAGACTCCACCCAGCCGCTGGCTGCGCACACGGATACATGCGGACGAGGTGACGAGAAGGTCCAGCAGCCCAGCAGAGCCGGGCCGCCCCAAACTTGCTGCAGCTCTTGGAGCAGCCCCGAAAGGGCTTCGTCTCGTGACACGAAGGTCGCGGGTCGCGAAGACCGGAACTAAAGTTGAAAGATAGAGATGATCTGAAGACGGGCCGGCCTTTCTGCCTCAGCTGCTGCCTTAATGGATCACAGCATGGCACTGTGAGTGGCAGGTTCAGTTCTTGCTGTTTATGCCGCCCTCAAGTTTCAGGTTGTAGACATGTATCGGAAAAGCGAGCGAAAAGAAAGTAAGTCGAAACCAAGACAGGAAACAACAGCATTGGTTTAGCTCCCGCTGCTTCTTTTGTTGAGAGTCAGAGTCACAACCTGCAAAAGTTGGTGTTTGCAATAGACAGAGATATATAACGTGCAGAAGCGATGTAGCTGAGCGCGCACAGTCACAAGAGACAGCATGAGACCGGCTGCCCACAGCTGATGTGATTCGATGTTTGAGTTTGACTTCGACGATCTCGAGGACCCAGCAGTTGTGACAGCATCCTGTGGATAGCTGCACTCACCAATGCTGACAAGGAGGAACCTGCTTCTGGGGCGAAACATGCAGGCACGGAACGGGTCTGCAGCGAACACTTGCCGACGGCGACTCCGCTAGTCCTATGTATACAGAGAACCCATGCTGTGTTTGACCCTGGGCCTTCAAGAGTAGGATGTTTTATTAGACACAGATCGTGCTGGACATAGGAGTTTTGATGATCAAAGAACAGAACACACCATGAGGCCGAGCAGGTGGACGCTCTGCACCTGGAGTCGCATATTAGCTCGTCCAAGAAGGGTCGGGCAATGGTCGGCCATAATTTTACTGCTCGACGAGCTCTGCTCTGCGGCTAAGGCATTCTCCTCGAAGGTGCCGGGATCGCAGCAGGCAGCGTCGGAAGAACGCCTGGGACACCAGAGCTGGGGTGTTGGTTGCTATTGAATGTGAGAGGCACCGAATGGCAACGCCAAGGCCAAGGCCAAAGTGAAGGCACGGAGCAGACTTAGCAGAACGTGAGCAGACTGCCAGTGTAATTGGCCTCATATTCCCTAAGAAAGCAGTAAATACGTAAGATCAAAATTACATGACACGTGCATGTAAACCTTGCCAAGACCCTGAACTCAGCCTGAACTCCCGTCTAGCAAGATGCAACGGCCCTGCCCATGTTCAACCCTCCTGCGACCCCCAGCTGGCATCAGCCGCTCAAAGCTTGCCTCCAGCGTGTTGTACGCACTGTTGGAAAATTCGCAGCCTTCCGCTTGATCAGACCTCTTTCACTCATCCACACCCAACATACACTAACTAGCGCATGCAATTCGTTGAAGAGGATGGACTCTCTGTCGTCGCAGTTGCGTTGAAGCGCCACCAGAGCCGACACACAACGCCTTGCGATGTGGACTGGCAGTGGCCGAACAACCACCACAGAAAGGTCATTGACGTTGTATGTGACCAACATCCCGGAGAGCACGACAGCGGCTGATGTTTCAGAACTGTTCTCCAAAGATGACGGCTTCTGTGGCCTTCGGGCGGTTGGAGGTTCCCGCAAAATGGTCTTCGTGGATTTTGGGTCAGAGACACAAGCCACGCAGTCCATGAGGCGCCATCAAGGCCATTGCTTTGATGGCAGTGGAGAGGGGCTAATGATAGACTTTGACCATGACAAGCGCACGAAGCGGAGCAGGGCGATAGAGAAGCCATGGAACTCCGCAGCTTTCAATAATGCAGCGACCAGGTCAACATGTCCAGCTGGGTGGGGACGAGGAAAAAGAAGTGGGCAAGGCCAAAGCGGCCATGGCGGTCGCGGACGCCGGCGCTTGCCAAGCCGGGAACGAGAGGCGGCAATGTTCCGACGAGAACACGCAGACTCAGAGCGAAGACTTCTCCCCTGCTGCGTTGCCGAGCAGCCACCGGCAAAGACTGTCAGGCGCCCGCCATCGTTTGTCTCAGTGCGCAAGGTGAACCGCCAGGACATTGAAGCAGAGGATGGTGAGGCTAGAGATCACGCCGCACTTGTGGACTCGCGGCTTTGTTCATCATTCTTTTTGAGCCGTCTTTGGCCTTCCACAGGGTGGGATTTCCAGCAAACCCAAAGATGAGCTTGTGATTTGCAGCCCCGGATGTTCAAGGCATACGGCTCAAGCGAGAGCAGCAACGACGAAATGTTTGAGCCCTCTTGCCGAATGTCAGCAGAAGCAGGCAATGCCGAACGCGACTGCGGCTAAAAAGCATTGCGTGGTGCTTCTCGAGCTTCCTTTCTCAACTTTGCCCTCGGGTCGCATGGAGCAGTTCATGTCAGTTGAACAGGCCATTTGCTATAGGTACTCGTACGGCTTCGGCACTGCAATTCAACCGGCATGCAACCCATTTGATTACGAGCTGGCGGTTCGGCCATGTTCGGCCTGCCTGCCAACTTTTTTCGTGAGGTCGCAAGTTAACAAACCCGTTGTTTTTCCTTACGGCCAGACGGTCGCTGTTCGAGCCCCGGGATGGAAGGGTGGCCATGAGTGTCTCAGCAGCCCGCTTATCAACCTTTTTTGCCGCTCACAGCTTATTAAACCTACGGCCACGGAGTTCCATCAGTGTTGCAATCATGATGGCCAGGAATGGAGAGAGACCCTGCGGACATCGCTAGCATCCTCTCAGGCCTCAGTAAATTGCCGGGTCCAACCTGGCCATCGTATCTCTCTCCCGGATTAGGCCCCAGCAGCTGTCAGTCCGTGAACCTAAAGGCGTTGAAGCTTTTCTCCTACTCGCGGCATGGCCTGGCGCTGTTCCGGCACGGGCAATGCGGAGCTGGCCGCCGCGGCAAGCTTCGGAGAGACAGAAAGAGCAGAAAGAGATGAACAACTGGTGTCACATCGTGTGTACCAGTTGATTCCCCTCAGCGTTTACATCACCACAAAGACCCAGAATGCTGACCGGGCAACCTGACCCGTCCGCACAAAGCCGCAGAGACGATGTGGATGCTCGTGGAACGTCCTGTATCCTGCAGTGTCGAGGCCCCCGTTGATAACAAGGAAACCGGACAAAAGCCAACTTTTGATTTGCCATCCTGGCCTGTCAGTCTTCAGAGTCTTCAGTTCCCTTTGATTCAGAGAGCAATGCTTGAATGAGGAACGCGGCTACAAGGATTCCCCGATGGGTTGAAATCGCAACAACAAGAAAATATAGAGTCGCAACCAGCGAATGTGGGTGCTATTTTGGGATGCAGACGACGAGGATATAGCGTAGGGGTGGCGGAGTAAGCGCCCCGGGGCGGGGGGGGGGGAACGGCGGGGGGCATCGTCAGTGTTTTCATGATAGTCAGCATGGCAGGTGCGGAACCTCCGCAAGGCCGGTGTCATCGCTTCGGAGTCTGTGGAGCGCGCCATGCTCGCGGTGGATCGAGGCCCTGTAGCTGTGCAGCTGCCGTCTCCGGTGCCGACAGAGCGAGTGCGAGGACACTATGCACCCAAGAATCCGTACACCGATGCTCCGCAGATCCTTGGCTTTGCGGACTGCGGAGCATGAATCACGGCCTGCATGCTCTCTTTACGAAACCGCTCTGTAGATTCTGCAGCTCGCTGGCTGTCGCCAAGGCCTATCGGGTACCAGGCCACAATCAGTGCACCTCACATGCACGCACACGCTTTGGAGTTGCTCGCCAAGCACCTCCAGCCTGGCAGCTTGGGTTCGCAAACTTATACAAACAAGAGCGGCCGGGGAGCTGTCCTTGCGTGGAAGTCTCTTACATCGGTGCATGTCAAGTGCATTTTTGTGAGTATTTCACCAGAGTCCCTGAGTTCTTGGTGTGCTCAGGTATGCGCGCCCTGGATGTTGGCAGCGGCAGCGGGTACCTGGCGGCGGTGATGGCGCGAATGGTAGGGGCGGAGGAGAGTGAAGGAGGAAAGGTGGTTGGCATCGATTACCTGTCCCCTTTGGTGGAACTTGCCGTGGAGAACATCATGAAGGCAGATGCAGATCTGCTGGAGAGCACCTTGATGCAGCAAGGTATCTTTTTGTAGTGCAGCTTGAGCCTGCATGCATTGGCATTCTAGTGAGCGGCATTTTGGCGACCCAAAGACCCAAAGTTTGCAGAATCAATCAGAGATGACTATGAGCTTCTGTCGTGGCCAGCTACCGTGTGCCATGAAGCATACATAAGGTGGGCTGCTTCAGCTCGAGCAGGGGGACGGATGGCAAGGCTACGAGAAGGTGTCCTGGTGCAGAAACGCATGCTGGGACGAGTGGGGTCGTGACGTGCATAGCGGCGGTTTGAGAACTCCCATGCCGCCGCCTGGTTTTCATGTACCCAAGCGACGAGAAAGCAGGCCATGCCCTTCGATTGCATCCATGTTGGGGCAGCAGCTGAGTTGCTCTGCTGCACTCCTGGAATATTGAAGCACAGGACCTAGATTCTAGTGTGCCGTAGTGTGATGTCGCAAGAAAATGAATTACACATTGACGACACGGCAGTTCCTGGTGCATGGAGTGATGCTTTGCCCTTCTTACCGTTACCGAACGAGGTCTGTTCCTGAAGCTTTGCTCGAACAGCTGAAGCCTGGAGGTCGAATGGTGATCCCTGCCGCTTGGCTGCACGGATGCTTTTCATTTAGTCGCGGGGTTGTGTCCCTTCCATGGCGAGGTCGGCACCACATCGCAGCAGTTCTGCCAGATTGATCCTGTGTCCGAGTATCATTAATTCTTTCTTGGGACCAAGCCTGATGTCCCCACAGAGATAGGTGTGGTAAGTGGTAGCATCGCGACTGAGTTGTCTTGCCCGCGGCACAGAGACGTAGAAATCGAGCCCACCGCCTTGTCGCATGAGCAAACAGGGCACCCTCTTGTCGCCTGTGGGGGAAGATAACCAACAACGAAGGACCGCTTGCCGAATGGCAACTTCGAGCAGAAGAGCCTGATGGGAGCGTCTTTGTTGCAATGTGAGCATACTCGGGAATTCACTGTTGCTTTGCAGGTGTTGTGCCAAGTTCAACTAAGTTCTGCTGAGAAAGCTGTGCTTGTCAAAAGCAGTGGAGATTGCAGATGTAAGGTCATGTACGTGCCCTTAGTACACCCTTCGCCACGGATTTGAAGGTGGGATGGACTAGAACAGTGCGGGCACAGCTGCTGCCGGACTTATAGACTAGAAATTTACAAAATCGAGATGCCCTGCAGGTTCAGTGCGACGGAACATCCCACACCACGACAAGCATAGCTGGTACAGCTGATGGTGTCTGACAGTGGACTCCTTTCTGTCCGTGGTTGGGAATGATGCAGCAAACAGTAGTAGTTACCGAGCTGGTGTGTCAGCCAATGACGTCTGGATTGGGCAAACGCATGCCATCTCGTCGTTGTGTAGTTTATCTGGCGCATGTTCACCCAAGCAAATTGAAGAGTCTCGAAACATGTCTCGGCATTGCGATGCGCAGGGCACACTTAGTGCCAATGCTCGTGCATGTTGCTCACTCCTAGTCCCAGCAGCTAGCAGGACATCTCAGCCGCTCGAGATAGTATCGCGGCCAGTCTCCTGGACTCCTGGTCCCACCGGCTGTAGGCACTAGGGGAAGTTGCAAAGAATGCTAGACCACGCGGGTAGGAAGCCGGAAGCGATGTTGAAGCACGGGCTCTTCGGGCCCCTGGAAAACAGGGGACTGTGCCGGCGAGCTATCAAGCATGAGAGGGGGGCCCAAGGAGGATGCAAGAATATGTTCATTTCCCTTTCAAGCTACAGATGCAGTCATGCACGTTTTCGTTGGTAGTGATCCTTCCACGCCCCGCTCCCAATTCCCGTCACGTGTCTCTGCGCGGGGATCGCAAGACCACCTTGATGAACCCCGCAGATCCCTTCTCGCACCGTCTCTGTGCGTTTTAGCCTAGTGTTGCTGTCATCTTACCTCCACTCCAAATCGCACACCAACAATGACAACAGACTTGTTGCTCTGAGACATTCAGCTGCCAACGGTCATTAATTATGGCTTTGAGCTGGTGCTGACAGCCAGAAATGCGTCTTTAACCAACTGCACCATGCAGAACACAGACAATTTGTGCAGCAGCTGGTCGATGTGGACTGGCTTCCTATTTACTACAGCCTGTGACGGGGAAAGTGCCTTTGCCAAAAACAGGTTGTCTTTGACATATTGCTGCTGGGCACTTGGCAGATCATCGGCGAAAAGACGTGCATCTGCGAGGTAGTCATTAGAGTCACTAGAGATGAGTGCTCGGCACGCCTACACCTCCATATCTTTACAGGCACCAAAGCCTGACCTCTTGGGAGCCCTCGCAGCACGGCGCCCAGTGCGTGAGTCACATGTAAGGTGAGTGAACCTGCAGAGTTGGAAACCATCCCTTAACGTGCCGAACATCCAAACTCTTTCCAAGATTGGGCTGGGATCAGATCCAGGCTGAAGAGACCGCCCGGGCTGCGGCGATGCTGGCAAAGCTGCTTGGACAATCTGTTATCAGCTCTGATGCCCTGTATCTTTGCAGTGCGGTTTCCGAATAATTGTTCTAGACTCCATGAGGTTCGCCCCAGTGCCGAACGGATCTCCATCGCCGCCTGCTGCAGTGCCAGAGCCCAGGCTCTTCGCAGATGAGACCAGCAGAAACTCAAACGCTTCTGGTGACTTGCTGTGTGCAGGCAGCCACAGGTTCAGCCAGTCCAGCCATCACCCTATCGCGTCCAGCTCTGAGTCCACATAGCAGTCTCGCCCTCGCTGCACAGCAGTTTGGACTGATGGCCTTGCACGACTTACGCTTGCGTTTACAAGATGCACACTGATTATCTGTGGGTGCTCGGTAGGCTTGGTAGTAGGCAGGAGCCCTCATCGCACTCAAGGGCGTGTTCGCATCATCATTCTAGTTTTGGTACTGTTTTGATCATGGCTGGTCCGAGTGCGAGAGCAGCGGTAGCCAAAGGGCTTCCGGAAAGAGGCTTTCACATGATAGCAGGGGCCCTACCAAGACCGGTGACAAGTTCATCATGTAGACCTTTGTTCGTGCTGCATGGGTAGGGAAACGTCAGATGGACGATCTAAGCCTGGAGATGCAGCTTTGGGTGGTGAGCACCGTGGTTTGTAGACAATACGCGATACAAAGCTGGCTTTCGAGAGTACGCGAGGCAGTTAGTTGTTTGACTCCGCCTCGATGGTGCGGCCATGCCCCGAAAGACCATCATCTTCGTGCGCCATGGCGAATCGGAGTACAACAAGGAGTGCATCTTACTTGCAAACTTAGCGCGGAAGAGCCGCCGAATGTTCTCGCAGAGTAAAGGCAACTGTCACAGGCCATGCGCGAGACTGGGGAGGATCCCCTGCTCCGTGACGCGAAACTGACTGAACGTGGCCGAGCGCAGGCCCCGTCCGCTTGCACTTTCCTGTCCATGTAGGAGCATCGACACCAGGTTACCCTTTGACAAACGGCTCATCTTTCGACAGCATTAGCCACAGCAGCCGGGAGCTTCGGGCAAGTCCTGCACAACTGCCAGGCAGCCGGTGCACGGCCGCAGTTGCAAGAGCTCTTCGAGGTGCACCGACCGGAATTGTAGCTCGAAGCCAAGTCTGCTTCCGGAAATGGGGTGTGGGCATTGAGATGTCATTTGTAGATCTTCACGGTGTCTGATGGTGATCGCGCACAGCTTCCTCCCGAGGAAATCGGATCCTCGGCTGGACTCTTGGATGCAAAGGCTTGTCTTGCTGCTAAGCTGATCTGATCCGGGCCGCACCGGACTTCAGACATGAAGCGGTCAGACGGAATTGAAGCCATGCTCGAACACGCCTCTGCCAGCCTGAGACCCGCCCTTTACACTGGTGCCAAGTCTTTAGAAGCCGGAGTGTTCGGCCCAGGTTGGCTGCTTCTGAGTTCACCACTTCGCCGCGCTCTGGATACAGCCGCAGGCGCACCTTGACGAATACTAATATGCAGCAACCTTTGGCTTGAAGCCGTTGCGCAGAAATGCTGCTTGAGAGGGATTTGGCCGGAAGCATTCCAAGCCGCGGAGGGCACCCGTTTCGAGATTTGGCCCGAGCTTCGCGAAGTGGTCCGGATGCCCAGCTTGGCAGCCTCTTCAAAGGAAGCTCTCTTGATTTGTCCCCCCGTGCGAGGTGACGGGCTGCGATGATCTGGGCTCTACGCCGAAGCAGCTCCAATTCGCCTTCCCCCACCTGCACGCCCAGCTTGGCTCTTTGCCCGAGGTGCTTGCGGTCCAACAGGGTTTCCGAGTAAAAGGCCCTGCACGGTAAGAAGTGCAGTTGCTGCATGCTGCAGGTGTGGTGGACGATCCCGCCTGCTTACCAGGATGTGCCTCTGGACGGCCGCTGGGTTGCGAGAGGAAACGGAGAGATGTTTTTCCAGAAGATTCGGATGAGACAGGCGCACAATGCTTTTCTCGACTGGATATCCGGGACAGAAATGGTTCGATCACATGCAGTTCTCCCTGTCATCGTTTCATCGTTTCAACTTGCAACTTGAATGCCTGCCACATCCGGGTGATTTTGAGTGGATCCATGGGTGAGTATGGATGATATGCTCAGGAGATGACCTGCGGAATGCGTACCAGAAGGACCCTGATGCAGGAAGCTCAGATTCGTCGTCAAGCTTACAAATCATCCAACGGCATGAGCGGCTCGAGCATTTCGAACACGATCAGTTTGTTCGGGGGAGTGTTCGAAGAGCCTGATTAGCTCAAGTCTGCTGCCAAGGCGTTTGAGGCTGCGGACGAAGCTATCTTTGCTGGCCGTGTCGCACAGCTACTTGAAAAGCTAGCATCTGTGAAGGAGGATCGGATCGCTGCAGCCTCAGCTTTGGTGAGGCCGCACAGCACACTTTCGAGGCTCCGGTGCTAAACCCGAGTTCGGAAGCTTCCAAGCCAAGGAAAGCCCCCAGCTCTAAAGAAAGGCTTTGCCGATATACTTATCACTTCCTCACACTTGGGCTCGGAGCCCTGAAGCGTCAAAACGGCGAAAGTCTTGTTGTTTCTCTCTCTCTCTCTCTCTCTCCCTCCTCATGAAAAGAAGTTCAATGCCCCTTTCGGCATTGACCGCATTGATGCAGAGAGCATCCAACGCAGGGTCTCCGTCTTTTGAGGAATCTTCGCATGAGAAAGGGTCACTTGAGTCGTTGGTGCTGGTTACGTGCAGTGGCCATGAGGAGGGTTTTGCCTTCATAGGGCAGCAAGTGTGCGACATGGCACAGAAGCATGGGCCTGCGGTATGTAAAGACTGACCACCGATTTTATATTGCAGTTGCCCGATGCCCGATTGAATGTGTAGTAGCAAAGCTTCGTGGCCGTTGCAGATTCTTGCAGAAGCTCAGGTCGTGGTAGCGCACTGTGATTTGATCGGGGAGCTGACGGAGCAAATGGGTTTGACAGAGAGCCTCGGAGCTTGTGACTGTCTCGCTCACCAATGAGATCACAATGACGACTGAGATCTAAAGAAACTGAGTACAGTGACGAGTTGTCCAAGTGGCCGCCTGTTGCCTTGCCTTCCTTGAGATATTTCCAGGGTTTCTCCAGGGTTGAAAACTCGCGACGATCAAGGAAGAAGAAATCGGGAAAGCTGCGAAAAGGATGGTGGCTCAGCGCCTTGGCTACAGGCATTGGTGACACTTGTGCGTCTGCTGCCCGTGTGCCACAGTACGTCCATGAGAAACTCGAAACAACACAAGTCAGGCAGAGGTGCCGCTTTGTTTTTGTTGCTAAGTGTTTTGCACGGGTTTACGTGCTTGATTTCGCGTAGTGGCTGATGTTCTATGCCAGCAGATCACAGGCAACTGTGAGTGTCGCCTCCTTCGTGACTTCGAGTTCAAGGATGCCTGAGCGATGCCAGGAGCATGAGAGCCGTCGCTGTCACCAGTAGCTGCTTGTGGCGTTGCTGCAGAGTGCCTGGCAGCAACATCGCGGCTTCTCAAACAGGATCCAGGACTGTACAGGTTGCTCAAGGTGAATTCCTGAGACCAAAAAGAGCGATGCGCACCTGTAAGGCCTTCGCTCGACACGTGCTCGCAAGCACCTCGAACATCGAGCTGTGAGATTCGCGCCTGTAGTAGCCAGGGTTCTGGTGGCCGCAGAGCAATGGCGACTGGATCCCCCGGCATGCAGACAACGAAACTCCATGCCGTTCGGGTTAAGTCAGATGTTGGCAAGAGTTGCAGTATACCGCATTAAAACACCGGAGCAACAATACGCAACAGCCGGAGGAGCCCGTTACAGGAACCACAGCAACCACGAATACTGTTAGCCACCTTGTGCCGAGGCGCCTGAGCCCAAGCCCGCAGCTGCACGGACCAGCCTGGCAGAGCCTCGGAGGCCCGGAAAGTGGTTTTAAATTTTGCTCCCAGAGTCCAGTGAGTCCTTGTTCCATCTGGCGGCATGCAGGACTGGCAACGGCCGGCCTGGCCCAGATGTGTCACGTCCTCAGCCCCTCCAAATCTTTCTGTGTTTCGCTGTGACGGAGCATCAGACCAGACCAGCAAGCGATTTTCCTGTGCAGAAGAGTTTCCGTCACAGTACAGGCCTCAAAAGGCTACGCGGAAGACGGAGGTATCTGAGAGGCCGGCGCCTGCGTCTACTGCGGTCTCCATAGGAAGAAGTGAGTGTTGTGTCCAAAAGGTCCGCGGATGAGGCTGCTATGCATGCGGCAGCTGAGGCACAGAAACACAGTGGACAAGTCTTGCAAGTCAGCTATACATGATACCTATTGTGCATGAGACATGTTCAGACCCCCCTCCCTGCAAAAGTGCTTGTGTTGCAAGCAGCCCTGATGGTACAGGGCTGTCTGACGTATGTCGAGATCCGTCGAGATTGGGGATGCAAGCCCGCCCACGGTTTGTTGGCACTCTGGAAAGGCAGCGGCCGAGCGAGCTTTGGAACATGATCGCAGCACGCACGGCAAAGACTGGTGGAAGAAGCTCCAGGCGCTGCATGGTCAGGATCGGGATGTGAGCTTTCCCAAGGCTCGTGCAGAAATGCTCCCGTGCTGCACCAGTGAGGTCTTCGAAGCAACATAATCATAAAAGCCGGCTATGTAAGGGGGTTGGCATTTCGAACAAGCGGAGAACTTGGATAGGCTCCCAGAGAAGCGAGACCTGTGCAGCGAGCCGACCGCTTGTGTGGCGCCCGGAAGCCACGGATCCTCGGAAGATCCTCATGCAAGATCTTCTGACGATGTCACAGGTCCATGTACCCGCGGCAGAAAGTCCTGGAAAGCGGCTCGCAGAGCCGTCTCGTTTCTGTCCGTTGCTGCAAGCTTCACGCAGGACTCAACATGCCTTGCGCGAATGGTGTAGTCATGTCGTCCAGTCGCTGCGTGGCAGGTCTCAATTGCCTGTCAGAGGCTTCAAGGTTCTGGCAGAGGCTGCGTAGACGGCAGCCCAATGCAGCCCATGCATGCTGGGCGTGCTGTGTTGACTGCTCTCTCTAGATGACCATCTGGATTTCTGCTCTGTGTTTCAAATGCAGTGCGACAACTGCCGGATTGCGCGACGCAATTGAACGCGAGGTGCAACCTGTTCGAGCCCAGTGCAGACCTCAGCCAAGTATAGCCCAGGCTGCCCTTCACCACGACAGCACCACCATTTCCCGCGTGGCTGAATGCATTTTCGCCTGCGTCTGCCGTAGTAGATACAACCGGGTACCTAGGGCCATTTAATTTGGGGAGCCTGTTTGGCCCAGCTCTCCTGTATTCACACTCGTTTGAGGGCTCCATGTTTTTCGGTGGTCCCACTTGAACGTTGAACTGGCCTGTAGCCTTAGCCTTCCTGCTCGATCATGCAGAACCTCAAGAAAGCACAGTGCAGTCGGCGCCTGTATCGACCGAGTGTCAGGGTTCGCTTGAGCCAAGCGCAAGCGTTGCAGTACCTCATTCAGCCGAGAGTAGGCATATCTGCTTGATTGTGGTTGCATGCCTAAGCAAAGGAGTAGCCAGTGCCCAGTAGATAACCTTGCTTTCTGTATCTGGAGCATGCACCGCCAATGAAGTGTGGCGCTTCGCCATGCCAGTGCCCACCAACACACCGGCACAAGGTCCGGCTCCACAGGCTCGCTCGTCTGGTCTCCTGCTCTCTCTCCCTGTCTCTCTCTCTCTCTCTCATTCTCTCTCACTCTCTCTCTCTTTCTCTCTCTCTCTCTCTCTCTCTCTGTTATTTTCTCTTCCGTGTGTGCGCTCTCGCTTGCATGCTCACTCCTCTGAAGTTGCTCTTTCTCGTTCTCTCCGAGCAGCATGCACATATGAGCGCATTCTATATATATCTATGTACATATGTATGTACGCATGCACGTAATGCAATGTCATGTTATGTTATGTTACGTTATTGCAGGGTATGTATGTATGCATGCATGCATGTCTGTATGTATGCATGTATGCATGCATGTATGTATGTTTGCTAGTTTGATTGTTTTGTTTACAAGTACTTCGAACAGGTGTTCGATGCCCTGGAAAGAGCTGAACGGGAGTTGAAGACTGCCACCGAGTCGCTCAGTGTGGTGGGACACCAGTTGGATACGCTGCGGGCTGTCGTCCAGGATGGAGAACCCCAGCCTCCACAATCTGAGCACATGTCCGATTTCGGCTGGGGAAGGAAGTGTTTCCAAAAGCAGTTTTTGCCCACAAGCTCTGGTTGGCTCTGGAATTCTAAGGAGTCCTGCCTCTCTGCGACAGCGCTTGAGCAGCGGCAGCCAGAGATGACAAGGGCGAGCTCGACGACCTCCAGGGACTCGTCACCCGTCCGACTCACGCTCTCTGTGGCGGATCCGCCGGGGCTGCTGCTGCACCAGCACAACCTCCAAAAGCGGAAGAACAAGCAGGCATCGGAGCTCGACGGGGCAAGGAGCATGTAGCATATCACTCCGGAATAGCTGGGCTCTGGTGCGGTGATAGCTTCAGGGAAATCGTGGGGAATTCGAGCAGACCACACTTGGGAGTCGAAGAGAACGGCGACGGGAACGAACCGAACAGGAGTTCAGAATAATCTCGATGCACAGGCAGCCCAACCACGGTTCCGGCGAGTGAGCAACGTCCATGCTGCTGCAGCAACGGGGGACCTTCGCCTGCACGGCAGGTGGATGGAACTGCTGCTTGGAAGAGCTGGTCATACCTGCTTGTGGTATCTGGTTACCATTTATCTACCACTACAAATCCACAAGGGACATGTTGAGATGCGTTGCAAGCCTCACCCTCATGCGCATGCCTTGTGCATTTCGGATGTGCTGCTGCCAGAGGCTCACTCTTTGTTCCCGCCTTGGTCGATTGTGTGTTCGGAGCTCTTGAATAGTGAATCAGTGTCGAAAAGAAGCTCATTCCGCATGAAACGAAGCCGTCCAAAAGGCTCGCTAAGTACAACGACCGACACAAACCCCTGCCGCGGTCGCACCGTGTCGCGAAGAGAGGGGCTCCAAAAGTTTGGACACGGATCGGCCCAACCAATCAACCCTGTTTGGCCCAGCCGGCTTTCTGCCGTCCTGTTCGGCTCCAGTTTCGCAGTCTGTGTGACATATGTTTTACACGGCCAAAACACATACCTGTACCTTATCTTTTGTTCACTTGCGGCTCGAACTTCAGGTCAACGGAAGCATCCCAGGGTGAAGCTGGAAGAGAAAGACCCAACAAGGCCATGCTCAGAGCTGTTTGTAGTTGCACCGGTGTTCTAGACATATCTCCACCCAAAGACACATCTTTCCACTACCGACGGAGGCAAGAACTGCCTTTCGGTCGCGGACAGCCACGATGGATGACTTGGCATCTGCAAATTCGACTGGCAAATTGCCAATTCTACACCCGCAAGGCTTGCAGTCGCAATTCATCATACTCTCTGCGTGATCTGGAGCATAGAGCATGAGACGGACGAAGCAGATCTTTGTCACACAGTCCTGCTGTAGTCTATAGTTGCATAATCACGGGTCCTGCCTGCCATCCGGACGGACACGACATGTCAATCCTTTGTCCCCCAAACCGTCATTCTGGCTTCAAAGGGCGGTACCTCTCCCTGCCTGGAGATTCTCCTTCTCTCTGACTCTATAAGCGTAATCGCAAAACGAGCTACGATGCATAGGTCTCTTCAAACTTTGCTGGGATCTGCTGGCCCTGACGCTTCTCCTGAACGACTGCATTCTGCTCCCGATATCCCTTGCATGGGATGCTCGAAAGCAGCTGGTGAGTCGCTTATATTCATACTTCAAAGGTCTAGAGTCTGGAACGCATATGTCCGCACTGGGCATGCAGCAATCTAGTACACGCTGCTTACGTATCAGGTTCAGATCTAGAAGGGCCGCTGGACAAGGTTGCACGATGTCCTCATCGCCTGCCGATTTGAGGATTTTTCAATGGTGGACGACGGCATCGGCGGCACGATTACTGCGGTCAGTTTCTACACGAGCCACTTGGCAGGAACTATCGCCCTGGTATTTGTGCTTTGTGCGTTGGTTCTGGCAATCAGCCTAGTGTGGAAGAAGCGCAGGATGTCGAGGGTAGTCAAGTTGCCAGAGAAGCGCGCGCCACGTTCGGGAGGCTTCGTGTGCCTCAAAGCTGAGGCTTGGTTTTCTGGACTGCGGATCTGCCCGTCAACCTGAACACAGCCATTTACATACGAGGCAGGTTTCCTTTATTCTCGTCTCATGCTGGAAGCGGCAGCATACCGTGTGTTTGTCAGTTTTGGCATTGAAAGCGGCATACTGTCAAAGCTTTGAAGGACGCTTGGTCATGCATCGTCGAAGCATTCTATGGCACTACTCACGGAGCTGGATGCAACTGTGCATATTATGCAGACCTGTCTTTGCTTCCTGGTTTGGTACTGCTGCAATTGGTGTTGCTTTCCAGAACCTGCTTGAATTCCGAGGATGTTTGATATGTTCGTACTCTCCTTGGATTACGGCTACCTCCTCCTAAGCACAGATGTGCTGTTGCTGCGGTTTGTTCGGATCTTGCGCGTCATCCGCCTCGTACGGATCGTCAAACTGTCCAAGCTGAACACCATTATCGAAGAAAGCGCGGCCTCAGCCGGCCGGCAGTGGGTGACGTTAGTGGTTGCCATTACGAAGACGGCGATTATGATGTTGACGACCGCACATTTCTTGACATGCGCCTGGTTCTACATTGGGCTGAACTTGGGCCCGGAGTTGCCAAGTTTGAGCTGGGTTGAGATCGCACAGATAGCAGAGAGACCGGATGCTTGGCAGGACGCACATGTTCACGGTTCCTCCAGTGTCGTTTACTTTTCTTTTCCTGAGTTTCCGGTGTCACCTGATGCATCAGGAACCACATGCCGAACTCATAGTAAAGTCGTCACAGCAAGGCATATAAGGCTTGGTTCAGTGACAGGAGGACATGGTTTTCGGTGACAACCACAGTGGGGCGATATTGCACGCCTTCAATTCCACACAGCCTCGATCTTGTGCAAACACCAATTTTCTCGTACCCGCCGGTGCCAGCTGAGCCTTCTGGATCCATCAGCATCTAAGGAAACCAGGGGCCTCAATGCTTCGAGCACGGATGACGATCTGAGCAGCGGCTGGTCAGGCCAAGTAGCCCACTTAGTGCCTGGATTCATTCAATACATGCATTCGCTGCGCTGGATTATGAATTCGCCGTCTCCTCCAGTGCCTCTGGCCGCAAAGTACATGTCTTTTGCTGTGGAAAAGATTCTGTGCTCGTTGTGAGGAGAGACACACAGATATCCCTTTGATTCAAGAGCCCAACCCTGCGTAGCGGGCAGAGTGGCAGAAGCGGAAAAGGAGAGCACGGAACTATCAAGCAGTCGAGCCCGGCAGTCGTCGTCGAAAGCAGACTCTTCAAGGGCCCGCGTTTCATGGAGGGCTCGACAGAAAGGCGGCGATGTGCATCCTTCGCGAAGTGGAGCCCCGCAGGAAGAGCAGAAACATATATTCTTGCAGGAGAGGCAGATAGAAGCAGACGAGAGCCCAAAGCAAGAAGGAGTGGAGGGGGCAGCAGTGGCAGCGGCATGGCAACAGGCCTGCAGGCTGAGCGAGGACCAGACGCCCGAAACGCAAGCCGGGAGCGCATTTGTGCGAGACATCAGGCGACCCCTGGGCACAGCCCGGGTTTATGCACTTTAATTGCGTCAGTTGATGTTCCGGGGTCCATCCCTCTCTGGGCCGGGGAAGATCAAACTCATGTCCCCAGGATGCGCGATTGGCGGCGCCCTTGTCTTGGTTGATAAAAGTCGTCGTACTACAATGAAGCACCCCCTCATTCATGTTACGTCACGTAGTGGACGAATTGGAACCCGAAAAGGAGGAGGTGACGCGAACCACTCTCTCTTATGTGTTCGGAAAGAAAGACGTAAAGAAAGAAACAACAGAGGCGCTGCCATGAAAAGGCCGGGTAATTTGGGCAGACTGGCGCGGAGCCACGACGCGGATGCCAAAACTTACTTGAACAGTGTACCAAGCAAGACTTTGCCACGCATTCGTGATATGAGACACATATCGGCTTGACCTGTGTATGTGTTTACTTGACTAATGCAGTCAGCCGCTGAGGAAATGGCTGCTGGAAGCGGGGTTGAGTGGGGATTCGACATCTTGATTTCGGTGACGACGCTAGTCGTCACTCGGTTGGCACCTGCAGGACGATTCGTCATTTCCATCTGCTGCGATTGTAAGATGTATTGGATTGCCACGGCCTTCCAGGTGATTGGTTCCGCGATTTCCAAGATCTCGGGGACCACGGCAGAGCTTCGGGCGATGAACGAGGTGCGGGAGCGCAGATCATTAGAACACTTGTCGCTGCCAAACAGCAGTCCGGCAAGCTCATTAGGCCTCACAAAGCCAACCAGGATAACCGGCGTGCTTCCTACACACATGCATGTTGATATACTTGCATCGCCAGGAAAGTGACCGACGCAGGCGCGACGTACGGCTTTATTTAGCCGGACAGTCTGTGTCGTGGCTGGCCAGCATCGAACTGGGGCCAGTTTGGTTCTCTCTAGATGCAGCAACCGGCATCCAAGTTGATCTAGCAGAGTATGCTGATCGCTGCTGGAAGTTTCGAAGTCAACAGGATGTGTTTGAAGCATCGCTCGTCCGCTTTCAGACCGTGTTTTTTTGTTGTGACCGTTGTTGAATCTTGCATGGCCGAGGTACGAGCTCGTCACCCGAATCATGCGGTTCGTAGACTACAAGCTGGAGAATCCTTTCTGCATGTTCGCCGAAGCATTTCAAAGCCTGCAATGCCGGCTAGTCGTCTACACTAAGCTGGGAACTGAGGAAGTTTTCCACCAACACCTTGGCATCTTGGTGCTATCAGCTATCAGGTGCATGAGTTGAGATCAGTGACACCATGCCCATCTTGCTATAGCGAAGTAGCTGCATTCAATTCAAGGATGCTTCCCTTATCTCGCCGACTCTACAGCTGGAGCTCTATGTCAGCCAGCGGGCGGTCACTTTGCAGAGAGTTCAGATGCTTCTTGCGGTACGAGCTGAAAACCTAGGACTTTGGGGCAGGCATTGCGAAGCAGGTCAAGGCTCAAGGTTACTCCTTCATATTCCAGCCGTTACTGTAGGGGACCGATTCAGTCGAAAGATGTGTAATGGAGTGCTGTCCGCTGAGAACTACGTGAGCAGAATCCCGATCTTCGCTCTGCTCCAGGCGAGGCTTGCTTCCTTTGACTGCATCAAATATGGAAGGGTCATTTCGCAAGCAACCAAGAGCCACGTCGGAGAGTCTGGAGGAGTGCTACCCAGACGTGTTCGGATCGGTTTGTGCGGCTTTGAAGCGGCCTGGCGGTGTCACGAAGCCATGGCTGTTTCGAGTGCTGCCGGCATTGCCGGCTCGATTCTGTACTGAACACAACTTGGAGCTCAGGAAGAACTTCTTCGAGAAGGGCGAGCCGGTCTTCCAAGCCGGATCTTACGCCACAAGCTTGCAGTTGACCAGCACAGGCGGCGGAGCGGGAGCAGGAAGTAGCGGCCATTCAAGTGCATGTCCTCCCGGAAGAACGTCCAGGCACCTACAGCTACCAAGAGCAGAGCAGTATTCACTCTGCCACCGGGCAGCAAGTCAGGGTACAGTAGCTACTCAATAGCGGTAACTATTTCAATTACAACTCTAATTCTAATGGCGAGTATTCATGTCATCATCACTCAGCAGCCACCTCCACGACAAGGTATGTAGCATAAGTCAAGGCACACCAAAGGGTGCATCTTGAATTTTTTCATCTAATGAACGATGGAACTTTGCTTAATTGCATTGTATTGGGAGGGGTACGCTCGGTCGTTGGGTGTTCCTCGCACTATTTAGCGGACAGCACTAGTGAGCAGCGGTCCGATCAAATCTAGTGTCTCAATGTGCCTCTAGCGAGCAGTACCTCCATCAACGCGCTGCCGTTGGTGTGCAAGCCGACCGCCAATAATTCCAAAGTATTGTTACATGTAGTTGTGGTGCGTGCAGCTAGCGAAGATGCACTTGTCGCAACAAGTGGCGTGCCTGCCAAGTACCGCAGGGCTTGGGTATTCAGCTCTGGTTCTGGTTCAGAGTTGCCAAACTGAGCAGGTGGCTTGATCGGGTTTACAGGACCAGTGATGCAGAAGGGTGCAAATGCTTGTGCGCACGCAGGAGCCCTTGGAGGGGTCTCGCTGGTTTGGCGAGCTTAGCTTGTTCGCAGAGTCGACCATCCATCAGCCCCTCATCAGCAGTGGAGCGAGGCAGTGCAAAGGCGGAAGGCGGATTTTGCCAGGTCTCTTTTTCAGGGGGGAGCAGGCCCAAACCGGAGGCAGCCAGGTGAGTATGTGAAGTGTGCAACTCTAGAAAGTCTTCGGGGATGGGCCCTTCTTGCAGTGCCTGACACCGACTGCCGGAACTCGGCTTGGACAGCAGGCCTGGAGCGCGTCTGTGGTGCCCGATAGGGCGCAGAGTTCGACCTTGTACCTTCAGATTCAGACCCACAACAAGAAATCGAGAAGAGACAGAAAGAGAGGGAATAGAGAGAGTGGGAAACAGTGAGAGACAGAGAAAGAGAGATGGAGAATGCAGGGGGAAGCTTGCTTGCTTGCAAGCAAGCAAGCAATTCCCCCTACATCATAGCCCTGGCGAAAGAAAGAGATGGAGACAACCACTTAGCGAGAGCACAGAGCAGGTCCAGGGCCAGGTTGTTGGATTCATCTTCTCAAGTTGCACAGGCGGGTTGCACCTCCCTGTAAGAAAGGGGCCTTTGGCTGCGTTTGGGGTCTGTGCCGGTCACTCACGGCCCTTTCGTAGGTCAGGCATGCTGCCTGCTTCAATCTTCACGCGCGGCGGATGCGTGCAGGCTTCACGTGCCCGCGTGCCAACCGAAAAGAAGGCTACCTTCAACACGTAAGTTTCGCTGAAGGTTGGACGCAGAAGGCGCCATTGTACCTTTCGCAAGTTGTTCAGAGTGACATGTTTTCCTTCTGTCACCTTCACAGGTCTCATCTAGACGGAGAGCGGTGCTGAGTGTTGACTCCGAACGTTGTCGAATCCCAGGAGTACTTTGATCCCGACCTCCTTTGCCGAAACCTACTCGTTGCACGGTACCGATGCTGGGACGTGAAACTTTTGAGGCTGTGGATGTTAGATTGAAGTTGGCTTTGAGTCATAGCAGGACTTCTTAGGAAGATCCGCAACCTCCAACTCCGCACCCGCAGTCAAATCCTGGCACAACTTTCAGCCCAAAGCGGGATTTCCATTCGCCTGGTAAGTTTCTACATGTTTCGACGACCCAACCGAAAGCAAGGACTTGGTGGGGTGCGTCAAGTCTTCGAGGGGAGCTGCGTCGATGTTCTGCGAGCATCCAGCATGCATGTGGAGCGTTGTGGAGCAAGTTCCATTGAAGTATACGGGTTCGACACGAGTCGCAGAGAACTGACAGTGCATGAAGCAGCCTTTCACTCAGGTATGCCAAGGATTTCGTTGCGGCAATGCAGAAGACTGAGTCAAAGCATGGGGACGAGGACAGGCTATCTGCCCGGAGCTCTTTGGCCAGCGTTTGTGCCTTATCTCTGCCCTGTGGCCGAAGCCAAAGTGCATCCGACCAAATTGTTCCGAGGGTCGAGGGCCGAGGGCAGGTGCTTTTGAAAGCCAGGAGCACCCCCGCGGAAATTCGTCGAACGTCAAGTCTGATGTCATCCGGACCTATCCTGCTGATCAACATTGGCAGGACCAGATACTTCAAGGAGAGAACTGCTGCAAGCAGAACCAGCAGTTCCAGGTGGCGGGTGTGATTATGTGTTTGTGTGTGTGTGTGTGTGCGCGTGTCTGTGTTCTGTCTCTGTCTCTGTGTCTGTGTGTGTGTGTGTCTCTGTGTGTGTGTGTGTCTGTGTGTGTGTGTGTGTTTCTGTGTGTGTGTGTGTCTGTGTCTGTGTGTGTCTGTGCGTGTCTGTGTGTCTGTGTGTGTCTGT